GAACTTTTTAAGTGGAAGAAATCTTTTTAAAAAGACGAGGACAGAAAAAAATCAGCTCTGGTAGAAAAACCTCTAATACTCAAGGTTACAAAACGCGTCAGACATTTCAGTAGACAGCGCGTACTATCTGACAAGCAGCGCTGCCTCATTCCAACCACGCCACGGTATTGACTATCACTGGACTCCTTTCACAGGACCGAGAGGCCTGGGCCAATGGAACAGGTCAAACACTAGTCAGACACAAGAAACACCCCATCTTAGCAGCTTGCCTTGTGAGCCGTCCTCTCTACCAGTCTACTGACGTTCCCCAACAGACAGGCTCAAGAGCAGCTGTCTCGTCTACTTCAGAATCATGTTTACACAGAAAATACAATGAGCCCGGTAAAAGCTGAAAACCTAAGCAAATCAGGTTGAAGCCAACCTTGCCATTTACTGTGTCATTCTGAGAGAATCTTCTCTCCGATGAAGTCAGTTCCTAGAAAAATTGTTTCTAGCTCTAACAGGATTCCAGAGTGAAAAAAGAACTAAAATGAGAATATATATAAGCCTGTGTAACGTAAGACTATATAAACAGCACGAAATATATCTATAAAAATCCCAGGATGCTAATGTTTATAATGGCCTAAGTAAAAAATCAGGAAAGCTTAACAGTATCGATCCTGACCTTTGAAACAATCTGTTTTAATAACTTTATATTAATATCAGTATCAGTATGGTCCTCTCTCACATTAAATAAAAGGAGGTCGGGTGCTTTAAGCACAACCCAAACACATACAGCAGATAATGAATATGCATGTCAGGCATTTAAAGATTTAATTTTCAAAAAACAGTATGAAAATCAAATGTCACGATATAAAACTCCAGTAATAAAGCCAAGAAACAAAATGGACTTTAAGGCAACTTTAACATGACTAAACGGGAGAAGAAAATGAAGACCACACTGAAAGGGGTCCCCCTCACCGTCCTGTGACCTAAGAATCACAGCCAGTAACCACCCCCTACTTGCTTCTCTGGGAGTTAGGGTTGTGAAGAGCACTTGCCATACAATCTACTTTATACAAAGATTAGTATTAACAACACATAATTTAAAAAGCAAAACGTACTCAACTTCACAAGATGTCCACACTGAAAATGAGAAAACTATTCTGTATAGTATTTTAAACTATAACTAAACAAGATCAGAAATACGCTTCTACTTCTAGCAAGAAGGTCGAAATTGGTAAAGTAGTACCTGTGTGAGTCGTGTATGACACGAACGTGTTAGCGACGATCTTCCCCCGTTTTCCTTCCAAGTCTTCATCCCCTTCCTCTTCGGAGGAGGAGGAGCTGCCCTGTTCCTCCACAAGTTTCCTGGCCGCAGCTTGATTAGCCTTCTTGATCTCCTCAAATTTCCTCTGGGACGTCAGCTCTACTTATAAAAGCGAAAAAAGAAGTTTCACTTCTGCACATCGGTGTCTCACAAAGCATGGTACGATGCAGAACCCCACCTCCCGTTAGCCAGGTCAGCAAGGCTCCAGTTTATTTGACTATTGTATCATCAGTTTATGCACACATTTGAAAGCCACCTTTAGACTATCTTCTTACAATAATCAGTGAGAGAAAAAAAAAATCTTAATTTCTTACCACAGAACCAAAGAAAACACAAACACTAACTTTACAAAAATCCTACCAACACACAGAGACTAACAAACTAACGAGAAATTCTAAAAGTAAAGTAACAGTGCCGAACACCTCCTAAGTAGTCTCAAAATAAATATACCAACAAAAAATTTAAATGGAAATGAGATGTTAAAATACACTATACAAGACAGGTGTGGTGGCAAGTGCCTCCAGAGGCAGGTGGATCACTCTGAGTTTGAAGCTAGCCTGGTCTACGTAGAGAGCTCCAGGACAGCCAAAGCTACAGAGACTGTCTCAAAAAAAAAAAAAAAAAAAAAAAAAAACTGTAGAAGCCAGGTATGACAACACACAGCACATCTTTTATCCTAGCACTTAGGAGACCAAGTAGGTGGGTCCCTGAGTTCAAGGTCAGCCACCAAGCTACATAGCAAGATACTGTCTCAAAAATAAGCAAATAATAAAAATCACTAAAAGACAGTATACATCACGATTTTTAAGAAATGGGGGAACATACTCAGTGGAGGCACACCAGAGTGACAGGAGGTGGTGCTTCTCCAAAACAGTCTCGGGAACCCAGTCCAGTCCACAATGCCTTTGCACAGATAACATCCATAGTTTACCTACTGTATTTATGAGCTGTTTCTTCTAAAGCTCCAAATCGTCCAGCCTTCAAGGTGAACTTGACATTTTTGTGGTCACACAAAACATTAACACAAAAAACATGCTTCTAACAATTCCACTCCAAAACATGTTAAACAGGACTGAATTGTTCCTCTACTACTGTGTTTGAGCTGGATCTTCTCCTAGCTAGAGCACTCTGCACTCCACATTGTTACTTAATTTCACCTAATACCAAACAGAGCCAGATAACGTCCCAGCACGTGTTCCCAATGAGACTTCCAACTTCTGGGGAGTAAGGATCCTGGGAATTGTACTTCAGCTAATAAGCTCTACGCTCTAGAGACAGCAAAGGTGCTTTAAGAAAAGACTCCCAAGCTGAATGGGTGCCCATATTAAGAAGGTTTTAAATTTACCATTCTAAATCACTACCTAAAAACTTACTTCATACATCAGGCTAATGAGCCACTATCAAAATAAACCTCACTTTCGGTGTTATATCTGTACTTAATGATATTTTACCTCTTATTGCCCTCAGGAATTGTTTTCCTTTTCTTACTGCGGCTAATTTAGTTGGTGATTAGTAATCAAAACAGACTGTTTTGAGTAAAAATGGCAGAAAATGTACACAGCGCTTACTTCAGGAATCTTTGAGAACTAAGAGAGAGAAGAGCAGTAACTGCTGTAAGACAGATGTCTCAAAATAAGGATGCCATTAATGGGGGGGGGGTGTTAAAAAAATTAATCAGGAAGAAATAATAGAATAGAAACTCTTAACACTTAGACTCCAGTTAGTGTATGTTACCATCAGTTAGGTAACACCGCCCGGAGGGAAAGACAAGGTGACCAAGCAAGTCTTCTCACACAATTCTTCCTTCCAGTCAAATGTCAGCTAGTCAGACCAAGAACGCTTCCTTTCCTGCTACCCACAAATCCAAGCAAGCTTATCAATCTGCTCACAGGTCTCCAAACCGCACACTTCACCTCTTTGATAAATTGGCCGATGGCAAGGAAAATCAACACAACTTTCAAGTTACCCTAAGAGAAACCCCACTCAGAGGCTCGATTTTGTTCCCCAAGGGAAGGGAGAAATGATGCAATTATAATGATCTCAGAAATAAAACTAAAAAAAAATTCTTCTGAAAAGTACATTCCAACCACAAAATGATTTCAGGGATCATTGCATTTTTTTTTTCCATGCACAGTTCCAGTTGAGTGCTATCAATACTCCACTAAATCAAGGTCTTGTTTGGGCCAAGGCTATTACCAATTCCATGGTGGCAACACTAGATACATCCGAGGAAAGACATGAAATGTATGAACAGGAATCAGTGGGAAACAACGCCAACAAACAGCGCTTAGGGTCTAAAGCAATTAGTCAACAAAGTCAGGTAGCCTGGTAAAGATGGCTATCAACTAGTCTCTCAAGCCGAGTTAACGTAGAATGGAGTGCCCAATTCACATGTAAATGGGATTCTGAGACCTTAGCCTAGCTTGCAGTTACCGTCCACAAAGATACGAAGGCACAGATCTTACTTTACAAAAACAAGTTAAACGTTTTAGATTTTTAAAAGAAAAACAAACACCGGCGATCAATTTACTGGTAAACAAGCACTGTGTTAACCAAACAAACCAGATCAGCTGGACACAATTTAAAACTTAAGGTCTAGGGGATTCAGGCGGGTAAAAAGTAGTGATTGGAAGAGTCTGGCCAGAGAAAAAAACACAGGCAATACCATTAAAATGAAGATAAGTCCCGGTACTAAACTCCCTGAGCAGTTAGTTATAAAGTGAACGAGACGAGGGCTCTGGCAACCACCACCAAGTTGGAAAGTGCCTGGGGAGCTGGGTAGGGACGGGGACCCGAGCCGTCCTCACCGCTGGCCCCCGGGGTCTGCATGGCTTCGCCTGCGGACGATCGCTGCCTGCGACCTGCAGCGGCCAGGGTCGCCGCTTCACCGGGGCTGGGGCCCGAGGGCACCGCGCCCCCGAACCTTTTGCCTCGCCCTCCTCCTGCGCCCCCCAGAGGGACTCCATTTCCTGGGGAGGGGACCGCGGCGGCCCGTCCTCGGGCTCGGCCGCGGCCAGCGACCACCTGGCGCCAGGAAGCGTCCATCCCTGCAGAGGAGAGAGAAAGAAGGAGCATGAGAGGGGGGTCCGAGGCTGCGGGGGGCTGCGGAGGAACCGCGAGGTCGGGAGGCTGGGGGCAGACGGACCCCGCGACACGGAGCCCGGGTCTGGGGAGGTCGCGGCCCTGTGTCTCCCGAGGGCGAGCCCCCGCCCAACCCGGGCTGGAGCGACGGGCGAGGAGGGAGGAGAGGGTTAGGGAAAGGAATGAACCGCGGAGCCAGAAGGACCTCCCGACCCGGGACAGAAAGCGCGGCCACGGGAAACCCTCCTCAGCCTCCGGAGAAGTGCCGGGGACAGAGAAGCGAGGACTGACCCTGCGGCCGCGGCCGGGAAGCAACTGCTGGGGTGGACCACGCCGAAAGCTACGTCTCCTTACCGACGGCGCCCACCGCCGGCGACTACAACTCCCAGAAGCCTCCGCCCGCGGGCCGCAGAGTGCGTGGCAGCGCCAGCGCTTCCTTATCCGGAAGCGGCGAGGGAATTCTTAGGGCGCATGCGCCCGCGGGGGTGGGAGGGTTCTTCCCAGTCTTTGGGAACTACATTTCCCGGCGTGCTCTGGGGCTCGTGAAAAGCGAACACCTTCACTGGTGAGCCGTGCCAGGAGCATGCTCTTAACCCATCCATTAGCAAATGCTCTCCGGAAGTCCGCGGGATGTCAGGATTCACTCTGAGAGGGCTCCGTTGACCTGAAGCTGCTTTCGCCATAGTCTTGGAGGTAGCGGGAGGATTCTCATCCGGGAAGTTCTTACAAAGAAACTACTGTGTCGTCGTGGGAAACTAGGTCAGGAAAGCTACTGGAGCCTTGTAGGGGAGTGGCTTGAGTTGAGAAAGCTCCCTTCTGAACGCCCAAAAGAAATCCAACCCCTGTTATTACCGTCTTTTACAGTTTAACGAGCTTTCCCCTGGAGACGTCTTATTTTACCTTCGAGACTGCTCCCTCAAGTATGTTTCATGAAGAGACAAAATAACTGAGAGCCAAGAGCTAATCTGTAGACTGCACTGAGTATACAATAACATGTATAGATTACAGAAATGTGGTTGATACTTGGGATTATACAATCGTTAAATTACTCTGCAGCTTAGTTCCCCAGCATTTATTATAAACATCTAATCATTGCCATTTAATGTGGCCGGTAGTGCACAAAATATTTACACATATATGCTGCACGTACATATATGTATATGAATATTTAAATTTTTCATATTTAATATATCGAGATGAATCACAAGGATATATTTAAAAGTACATGTTAAAGTCTATCACCTTAGTTGTAGTTCCATTTTTTAGGAACTTATTGAACAAGTGTGAGAAGGCAGCATTAGTGCTCCCTTCTGGTGAATTAAGACTTCATCTGTGAAGAATAGTTTTCTTGGGTGTGGAAATGAGGTGTACTGATAAGAGGAGTAGTTTCACAGGCATATACAGACATAATAACTCACCATTATGTATTTGTGATTTGTACCATTTAGATGTGCATTAATTCCTCTATTTTTAAAACTACTCCAAAGTAAGTCTAGAGAAATAATATACCTCGATATGCTTGTTGTCCGGCCATTTGACGATGCAGTTTAATTGAAATACTGACATATTGTCCTTATTTTGATTGGTTTTGTCAGAGGATCTATACTCAAATCTTCAAATGTATTTCTTTTCCGTATACATCTTGAAACACTTCCAGTTATGAACGTATTGCCTCTCTTCACAATTCCATGATCCTGACTCCTTTAAGCATCCTGAGTACCCTTTAGGCTTTCTCAGGAAATGGCACTAGAGAGACATTTCAGGCATTAAGTGAGTTCCTGGTGTTATTTGTGGGTGCTGCACAGCAGCAGATCACTCACCTTGCAACTCTGCCTGGCCCGACAATACCTTTCCTTTAACACAGAAACTGGCCGGAAGCCCTTCTCTTCATGTTCACACCTTGATCCACAACTCACTTTACTTCCGATGTTTCTGACTCTGTGCTTGGTATTGGATCCACTGCAGATCATTCCCAGTTCTAAGGTCCCACACAACACTCCCACTCCATCACTTGCTATCACCTACCCTTGTTGGCACTCCAATCGCTTTCTTCCTGCTTGCTCTGTAGATTGGCTCCGTACAGAACAGACCACCCACCTCCTCTGTTCTCCCTTGTGCAGAACTATAGCCTTTCTGATAAGATCTGAATTCCAGTGTTGGAAAGGGACACTTTGTGTTTTCCTTGGTAGTCTCCTTCATCCTTCTAATACAATATACAGCATCTGGAGATGCATTACAAGTCGGTGGTAGAGTACCTCCCTAGTTTGCAGGAGGCCTCCGACTGATAGACCACCAGCACCACAATAAAACAAGACAGCAAAGCAACTTCCTTATGATCATTCCTTTATCAGAATTTTAAAGCTCTTTATATTAAACTTAACCCACTAGGTGTTTTCTAGTCCCATTTGCTACAATGATAAAGATACTATATGCATTATATCAGTATCCTTTCAAATTCCAACACAGCCCAATGAAACCAGGGGCAGGGAAGAAAGTGTTATGAAAGAAATAAAAGATAAATATGTGTCTTAGTCAATGTTCTTATTGTTGCTGTGAAGAGATACCAAGGCAACACTTATAAGAGAAAGCATTTAATTGAGGGCGTGCTTACAGTCTCAGGGGTTTAGTTCATTATCGTCATGGCAGGGAGAATGGCAGCATGCAGACAGGCACTGGAGCAGCAGCTGAAAGCTACATCCTCATCTCTAGGCAGAGGGGCTGAGAGAGATGTAGCCTGAGGCTGGTATGGGCTTCTGAAACCTCAGAGCCCACTCAGTGATACACTTCCTCCAACAAGGCCATGTCTGTTCTAACAAGGCTACACCTCCTAATCCTCTAATTCTTTCAATTAGAGGATTTGTACTCCCTGGTGACCAAGCATTCAAATATTCAAATACTGCAATATGCAATGCAAATTTACCATTCAGGAAAAAAAAAAAAAACAGTTCATCCATAGATGGGGCAGAGAATAATTAGAAACATTAAGTAACCAGGTTGATTTTTCTGACCAGCTTAAAATGCATGTTTTCCTAAAGTTTTAGGAAACTACTTGCTGTACTTAGTAATACTCAGAATTATGATGTCTCAAAGTACTTATAATGTGAACTTTATGAGAATAAAATAATTTTAACAAAACAACTAACATTTCACTATTTAAAGAATTTCATATCAAAAATATACCAAAAATTCATCATATTTAATGTAATTTTGTTTTCAAACATTCATCTAACTAACCTGTCAAGTGTGGCATGGATCCTACCGGCTCCCTCGGGTAGTGGGTGAGAAGGTGTGGCATCAACGACACAGACACTGGGAGTCCGTTGAAGGCAAATAACAAACTCATTCAATAACAGGGCAGCCCTTATTGTCAGAGCCTGCCGACTGTCAGCTGGGTAGCTGGGTAGAGGCATGCAGATTGAAGAGACAATGAAGCCAGAAAAGAGTTGAAAGGTCTGCCAGTCAATGCCAGACAGCCCCAAGTTTGTTTCACAGCCAGCTTATATACAGTCTTGAAGGACAGAGGTAGAACAATGCACAGCACAGGCACTCAGGACTGTGCATTGAACAGCATGAGCAAGTGGCAGACCTGAGAATAAGCATATTCTGTCACATGCTAGAGAAAAGTCTTGACAGTTCTTGGGTGGAGCTCTGGCTATTAGGTGATGCAATATGAGTTACTGGTAACCTTGAGGTGGGGTTTTGGAGGAGTGGTGGTAAAGCTTAGTTGTGTTATCTTATTGAAGAATGAACAATAAGAGAGGAACTCGAAAAGGCTGAACTTTATGAAAGAGTCTTCCAGTAAAAGTGAGCAGAGCAATGGGATGTTATCTGGAAGTGGAACAGGATCAAGCATTGGTATTCCTTTAATATTTGAGAATATCTGAGCCATTACTCACTAATAGGGATCATACCATAGACTAGTAAAATATGAACATGGGTAGAAAAGTGTCTTAGAGGGTCTCTAGAGCTGTGATTAAAATTTAAAAATGACCAAAAACAACCTGGGAAAGAAAGGGCTTATTCTGCTTATGGTTTTATATTATAGTCCAGCATCCAAGGAACTCAGAGCAGGAGCTCAAAACAGGACCCTGGAGGCAGGAGCTGAAGCAGAAGCCATGAAGAAATGTTGCTTACTGGCTTGTTCTCACAGCTTGCTCAGCCAACTTTCTTATACACCCCAGGAACACCAGCCCAGGAGTGTCATGACCTACAGTAAGCTGGGCCTTCCCACATCAATTATCAACTAAGAAAATGTACCACAGGCCAATTGATAGGGCCATTTAGTCAACTGAAGTTCCCTATTCCTAAATGAATCTTGATTGTGTGAAGCTGACATGAAACTAGCTAGCACAGAGATCAATAGTTGGTCAGAGCAAAGTCTCAGGTCCAAGAAAATATAAGGAACTTGTGCACTTGGATAGAAACATTAGGCAGGAACTCATAATCTGTCCATTACAATAGATTTAGTTCAGGCAATCCTCAGATCTATCCCCATCCTGGGCACTGCACTGGAAAGTCCCTAGTTTCTAATGCAGTGATCTCTAATGATCCCAAAGGTCTAATACAATGCACAGGAGATCTTCCTATGGTTATGGTCACCTGAAAGCAGAGAACTGCAATATTCTGGTACTCTGATTCTTTTCTCAGGGCTGTCTTAAAGGTATGACATCATTAGAGACTATAACTCCAAGTCTGGAATGGAGCATCTCTGGCTACTTGACTGTTCCTTTGAGTCACCATGAACCCTTTTGGAATTGTACCAGAACAACCAAAGAAGCAGCAGACATTCCAGTCTTCTCGCCTAGAATTCGAATGTAGCAGAAACATCTGCCTTCTTCCTTTACTACTATGCCCTATATCTAAGTGAGCATTAATCCATATAGAATTATATATATGTAGTATATCCCATAATGGAGACTATATCAAACTTGCATCTTTTGCTGCCAGGTTTCTAACTGTACAAATAAGTTTTGATCAGTAAAATAAATAAAGAAGGTTTCCTGATTGTTGCCATGTGCCCTGAGAATAACGTCCTTGGTTCATTGCTCTTTCTTCATGCCTAAAGTGTGAACAGTTGGTAGGAGCTGGATCCACTTCTCGGACTGTGGGGTGATTTTAGGGTAGAGGCCAGACATACGAAAGATACCAGATAAAAGGATCTCAATTCCTAAGGATTCCTCATTCGAAAAAAATGTTGTGGCAGTCCTCATTTGCCTCTCTCTGAATTTCAGTATGAAAATAAATATAAAATCGTCTTGTGTAAAATACAAGTGCCTGGATTTACTCAGCCAGTGTTGTCTTGAGTTGGCAGTTGAACCTAATACCAGAGTAATACTATGTCTAAAGAATCTAGTTTTGAGATAGAAATAAAGTTGATGGTTCAATCTCAACATTTTTAATACAGACTTTTAATCACATTTAAAAAAAAATAGTGCTTGTTCAGTGGATAAAGTGTTTGCCATGCAAACATGTGAACCTGAGTTGATCCCCAGCACCCACATTTAAAAAGTTAGAGGGAATGCATGTAATCCCAGCATTGGAGAGGAAAGACAAGTAGATCCCCATGGCTTGCTGACTGGCTAACCCAATAAAAATAAATGCAATAGCAGCAAATTTCTGTTTGCTTTTATGATACATGTCTTTGCTCATTTTACATACCTTATGCTCTTTGGGCATTGTGAAATTACAGCTGAATTGAATAAAAAAAATAAGCAATGTAAATCTACTAATATTAGTATCTTTGCAAACTAAAGAGCTAAGAGTGCCTTGTTGGGACTGGAGAGATGGCTCAGCAGTTAAGAGCATTAGCTGCTCTTCCAAAGGACCCAGGTTCAATTCTCAGCACCCATGTGGCAGCCCACAACTGTCTGTAATTCCAGTTCCAGGAGATCCAACACTCTCACACAGAATATACACAGGCAAAACATGAGTGCACATTAAATAAATAAATCTTTAAAAAAAGAAAAGAGTTCCTTGTTACGTTTGAAATAGACAGGAGAGTCATATTCCCACCTTAGAGAGCTATTGGTGCTGTGGTCAAATGTTCACAGCCTAGGTGCCATGTGGACTCATCTGTCCACTTTTCTCTGGAGACTAAGCAGAGAAGTCACTGAGGAAGACATGGTACAACACAGACCTTCGTATCTCCAGATAATTGTGCTTCTCAGCATCAGGAATATTTGTGACAAACCCAGGAAATCGGCTTCCTGCTCTAAAGAACTAACACAAGTAACATCCTGGACCAAGTCCAGTGGCAGAAGCTCAACCCAGACAAAGCAAAAATGAGCCAGGCGGTGGTGGCGCACGCCTTTGATCCCAGCACTCAGGAGGCAGAGCCAGGTGGATCTCTGTGAGTTCAAGGCCAGCCTGGTCTGCAGAGTGAGTTCCAGGACAGGCACAAAGCTACACAGAGAAACCCTGTCTCGAAAAACCAAAAAAAAAAGAAGTCTAAAATGAGCCTGACTGGAAAGAGGAGAAATTGGCAATCTGACAAGATATCCAGTATCAACCTTTTTGAAGAGCCAACATTGTCAGGCTGGTGAGTAATTGTGTGATAAATTGATATTTTCAGAAGCCCAAAGGATTATGTTAGTGAAAAAAAAATGCATTCTTTCACCTCCTCACTAGTCAGGAAGTCAAAAGCTAGACATAGATATAATCTAGAAACAGCATCTCAAATTCACCCAACAGACACTCGACAAGCCTGAAGTGGCTGGCGACATGCAGATGGCTGCTCCCTTGTCACTAAGCAGAAGCACGTGCAGCACTCAGGGCTGTGGAGGAAGCAATCATGTACAACTGCAAAGACACACAGACACTGAACCTGTGTCTCAAGGTCAGGCTTGGCCACTGGATTAGCTGTGCGGGTTCATAAATGATTCTCCCATTCTCTTTCTCTCTTCTCTTCTTCCAAAGTAATTCAACTATACCAATAGTTAGAGAGATTGCCACAGAGCTGTACCTAGCTTTGCCAAATCTCAGCATTAATATTCATTGGCTTCAGATATTTTTTCAAAGATACAAAGCAGCATATACAGTTGAACCTCTATGCATTGGTCCCCTTCCTTCCACCCCACTGTCCTCCGTCCCCTATAGGAGAAGTAGCCACTACTCTGCTTTCTGGTATCTACTACATCTTTGGCTATTCCTAAACATTAAAATCATATGTCTAAATATATATGCATAACACAATATGCATAATAAACATAAATACATAGAGTGTTCTGTGTTCGTAATTTTACATAGTATTATTGTGTGTTCGTGGAAAAGTATTGATCCAAGTGAAGTGGTGTGATTTGAAAGAAAATGGCCCTGAAGGGAGTGACACATGATGAGGTGTGGCCTTGTTGGAGGAAGTGTGTCACTGTAGGGGCGGGCCTTAAGGTTTCCTATGCTCAGACTTCCTGTTGCCTGCAAGATGTAGGACTCTCAGCTCCAGCACCACATCTGCCTGCATGCCGCCATGCTCCCCGTCATGATCATATTGGACTCTTCACAGCAATAGAAACCCTAACTAAGACAAGCGGTTAAGATCAGAGACATTGGCTGGGTTCAAATAGCTGTTTTTTCCACTTCCTCCCTGTGATCATATAACTTAATCTCTGCACCTCCATTTCCTTTTTTGTTAAGTGGAAAAACATGATTGGACCTAACTTACTAAGGAAGATTTAAAGCAATACTGTCTGGAAGATACTCAGAACTGCTAGAATAAACTACATATAACATAAGCTTAATCTGCCAGCATCAAAATGTTTTCTAGCATTTCACAGTAAGAGTATATTCTATTTACCTAGTCTCTCTCTCTTTTTTTTTTTTTTTATGGACATTTAGGTTCTTCCCTGGTTTTTGTTGTTATTGTTTTATACATTCCTAAACATATCTCCTGGAGCACACAGGACAGATTTTTCACCAGTGGCGATCCCTGAGAACAAAATTGCTGGTCAGCCCAACCTTGTTCTGTCACACAGTGTATTGTTCTCCAAAGTATATGCTGAGAGATCCAACAGTCTACATGCTCACCAACCTCACTGCTGCCATGCCATCGTTTCTGTAAGACATGAAGGGATGAACCAGAGACTGTTGGAATTCCAGATCTTCATATATTTTCATATTTTCTTTGAGTTTACTACTGACTTCCTTCTCCCAGAGATAAAGTAGTTTAATTAATATCTTCCAGATCTTTATATATTTTCATATTTTCTTCATTTTCTTTGAGTTTACTACTGAGTTCCTTCTCCCAGAGATAAAGTAGTTTAAATAGTATCAAGCATGTATTCTGACACTGTCGTTGTTTGGTATTAGTTACCCTGAGCAGTCTTTAATCTTGGATATCATTAATGGTATCTCAAGAATTATCAGGAAGAATTTTACTTAAAATGACAGTATCCTACCTAAGCTTATTCAAACATTCTTAAGAAAAGTTGTTACTTTTTTACTTTTCAAAGCAATGAACTCCTCAAAAGTAAAAGCACAAGCTAACTTTACTGTAAATGTCACTCACACCACCCAGCTTTACTTCTCATACATGTCTTAAACATCAGCAAAAAGCTTCCTATAGTGCAAGTATTAGTATTTCCTTGTTGAACAACCAAAAGGGAGAACACATTCAAATAAAATATGATGTGTAAACATAATGAATAAAGCAACAAATAAAATGGAACATTTAAATGTTTGAAAAATTATATTTGCCATACCATTTGAATGTTCTACCTCTGTTTAGGATATTTTATATATTGATACATATTAAGGATATTGTTATCATATTGCACTATATATTTCTACCTCAGTTTAAGATATTTTGTGTATTGTCACAATTTTGAGGTCATTGTCCTTATATCTGTTTACAGATTGCTTACCCTGTTAATGTGAATCCTTAGTCCTTGGGTTATTTAGGTAGATATGACTTACAGATTTATAGTCACCCATGAGTGTCATTTCTACAGTTATGTTAGTTAGGTTGTCCAGATTTACAGAAACATATGTCAGATGGATAGGTAGTCATCAAACACTTCATAGGCTTAGAATATTGCATTTAAATGTTTTGATAACTTAGAATTCTGTTGATGTGAGAATCGATTGCTCCTGGCAGCACCGATCTACTCCCGAGAGAATGTTGGGCTTCTAAGACACTCAGTTTGGAAGTTTGTCTTCTTCTTGGCACAAAATGGCCTGCTGGGCAAAGAACTGCCCTGGCTTTGACTGCTGACAGTATGAACACTATCCTTTCTAAATGAACAGGACACAAAGAAAAATGACTACTGAATCTTGCCAAGACAGGGTAAGATGATCTTTCAAAATTCCTGCTTCTGAAAATGGTCTGTCAGATATTCTAGGCCTGTAGCCAAAATGGATGCCCCAGTAGTGCTGAGAAACTTTAGGTGACTGTCCAGGCTGCCAGCTGTCTCTGTCTATTCTTGCACTTTTTCAGAAATTGCTTGTCTGCACTGTTTTCTCAGGTAATATTTTCCTACTCAGGTCTTTGATGGAGTTGAAGACTAGACAGTTAAGGTTATATTCATCTCATATCTTAGCTAATAACATTTCAGATACTAAAGTTAGATTCTTCAGAATATAACAGCTATTGGAGTAATCTCTGTAATATGCCATTTGCCTATGTTCTGGACATTTCTGGATTTTAGTATGTGTCTCTCGTTTGATGTTGTTCTTGCTGGTTGTATGTTTATTTTTGTTTATGTTATTACCTTTCCCCTCTCTTGGATAATACTTGATAAGTATCCCTATTGTATATAGTTTTTTATTAGGTTAGAACTTTTTTAGACAAAAGGGGGAGATGTAGTGGATAGCTGTTCTGTCTTTGACCTTGGAACACTGCCCCTAGAGATGTAGCAAGTAACTGTCCCACCTACCTATGACACTGAAGTATCTGACCCTGGGGCATGGCTTGGGTCTACCCTTAAAACTTGAGATTCAGAGGTCACAACTGTCTCTTATATGAAGAAGGTCTAGTCCAGTCCAGTGGTGAAAGTGTCTGAACTAGCCTACTCTGGTA